AGAGCTCCTTACAGAAAACCGCCCCTCCAATTTTTCCTTCTTCATCCACATCTCCTTCGTCGGATTATGAGAGAAAGAGACGCCTCGAGTGGCCTCAGTGTCGTGGTGATCTAAGTTTTCCGGAATGCGGCTGAAGGAGGAAAGAATTTCGTCGTGTCCTTGTTCGAACCTCTTCATAAATCCAGCTAATTACCACCCAATTTGTATTTCTCTTTGACTCCTTTTTCGTTTTGTAGCAGCAGATACCATAGAGATAAAATTGGAAAAATATTTAATATAAATCAGTACTTCTTAATGAACTAAATATTTACTAGGTGATATTACGTCGCAAATGTATTGATTCTATTAAATCTATATATATATAAATTAAACCCGTTTCCCGTTGTCACGCCATAGAGGCTAGACCGATTTGGCTGTTTTTTTTGTAGTTTTCTAATACTCTGAAAAAGGTTCTTCGGAAAAAAATATTAAGAAAATGTCTCAGAAAGATTGAAAAAATACATTTAATTTTGCATATTTTAAAAAAGCGCGTAACGAATGTCATCATCATTTACAGTCATATTGAAAGAGCATCGTTTGTTCGGAAATGTGGTTCTCTAATCAAATTCTATCGCACTAATTTACTAATTTTTGAAAATTACTCGCCACAATTAAATGTACCGACGGTAATATTAATAATACCAGTGATGATTTTATTTTAACTTACATTAAAATTTAATAATAATAAAATATGTATACTATGAGTTAGATTTCAGAATAGAAGTTAGATTCCATATACTAACTGCAACCAAATACGAAATGCCCTTAGCTTCCAGCCAATTTCGCACAAAATAATTATTTAAATCATAACTGGCTCAGTTATCGAGTTATATGGACAGAAAAAAATGTTGAAATTAGTTTGAATAATAACATTTTACTAAATTAAACTGCTTACTGAATATAATTTAATTATACGTAAGCCACAGCAAGGCGTGGCCGGGGTCTTCTAGTATTCATATAATATATCAGTCAGAGGAAATATTATAGCCGATTGGCAATGCGGCAAACTAATTTCATTGTGCAATTTGTATTTACTCATTTGCATTGAATGGTTTCAGATGCAAACAAACATCCACACTTAGTTACATGTCCATACCGTATGTTTGAAGCATTGCGTGTTTAAACTCATTAATTGCTTGAATTATTAAAAAATCTTTAATTCCAATTCAGGTATTCAATGGACATGGGGCATGTATAGAAAGTAACGCAGTGCTGTTTGCCAAGGTGTCGTGATATTTTGTTGCGCACTAATTAATATTTTCGGAAAAGAAATAAATGAAACAACCGCCCACTTCACTGGCTTCCCTAATGTACTTGCCTATTTCGCAAGAATATTTGATAACACGAGAGAATCCAGGAATAATCAAAAAGTAATTTGTTCTACTACCATTATTTGCAATGCAAGGACTAACGAAAGAGGTACATACATACATACATATATATAAACCGACAAGTTTGATTTCCTGTCTGACAGAAAAGGCGAGCGACAATTCTACTAAAAGCTACAAGAGCTTAAAGCGATTTCCTTGCGTCAAATTTCAAAGTTTGATCAACGGATCGATAGCTACCGTCTATTTTTCCACATAGAAACTGTTTTCTTAATACAATGTTGGAGAAAAGAACTTTATTTTTTATTAGAATAATAAGTAAAGCGATGTAAAAAAAATTATTTCCGGCCCTTAAACTTCTATTTTAGTTTATTTTAGAACTTTTTTTGCTAATTAAAAAAAATACTGCAATTAAATGGCGCAAATTTAAAAATCAACGGACGAGTTTCTCTTATTTAGGTCAACTTTTACTCGCCGTTTGTGCTATAATCTCATCCGCCAACGAAATTCGAATAAAGAAACATTCGGTCATTTGTTCCGTTCTAGTAAGCCCATTCAACCAACATTGGATTCCATGACTAACAAGTACAAAAACAACGGGCATTAATACAGAACCTTTATAGTAAAACATTGATGACAAGAAAGAAAACAAAAGCGATGAATACCCGCTATCAGTCGAGTGTTAATATTTAATCGATTTTGCAATAAACAAAGGTGTGATGCCATTGCAACAAAACAAAACAAATGATGGGCTCGTCAGCAACAAAAGCACGTCATGATCAGCATGGACACATTGTCATAGCAAATATTCGCTCAATGAATACGCCGTCCGTCTGTTGGTGTGTCACATTAAACATCGTTTGTCAATTGTCAGAGTTTCAGAGTGCAGCTTGCCCTGGTGACAGAGAAGTACGAACTGGGTTTACTTTCATTAATTGACCGCTTTTAATGATGTTTTCATGCAGTTGTTGCAGGCATAATTTGCGTGACACCCACAGATGAACGTGTCTTTGATTGACGATCATTCAACCTTATTATAAGTAACCGTGTTCCGTGATTGCGACATTATTTCTGCAATTCGTTGCGCATGTGTAAGATCCAAGGGTGATGAAAATATGGTTGTAATATTATGTGGTGTATTTATTGCAGAGTTTCAAGTGCTATAACATCTGTTTTTTATTGTGGTAGAAATATTGTAGAAATTAATAATAAAAATTTTCGAAAATTGTAAAGAACACCTTGCATTATTAAAATCTTAACTTTTTATGGGATGTGATTCAAAACCGGTACGATTTCTGTTGCATACAGCTATGTATGAATCCGATTCCTAGAGTGTGATAGTGCACAACGCTATTCATTACATGACGGCGACTATTTCATTCTTAACTTTAAATGTTTTCAAATATATTTTCCGGATTTCGTACCGTACTGTTTAAAGATTGAACGCTGATTGTAACTGAAATAAATATGGCTGATTAAAGCGGATTAGGGAGTCGTAATACTGATAAATTTGAAAGGACATTCTCATCCTAGGGGTTCTAATCATTATTTGCGTAATGAACGTCTAAGCGGTCAGGCTAAAAATTTTATCGCATTACCCTGCTACAAATAACAAAACTAAGGTTGCAACCTTTAGTAATTCTGAAGAACTATGGATCTGGAATTTAAATTAGATGTCTCAACAGATTTGGAATAGTGTATACATTTTTTGATCATAAAAAGTTTTTTACAACACACACAATTAAACGGTGGAATGGTGGGGTTAGAGAAGTCAAAAAATCTATTCTTTTGCTAAGTTTTTCGTAAAAATATTTCCAAAATTTTAAATGAAAATGTGTTGACCCCTGCAAAATAAGCTTAAAGTACATATTTCACAAACCACTGTAGCTAAATCGACCAAATTTGCTGAGGAAAAGTCTTTCTAATATATCCTCATATTGTGTGAAAATGGATTGAAATCAACTACAGCCTTTCGTCCTTCCCACATATCACAAAATTAAATCCATCTGATTCATTTGCTTTACGGACATAAATCAAGCAGGAATGAAGTTGTTGGAATAAAGCCTTGCGCAAATAGTGTCTTCAAGGTATGCCATATACATATAAGATTGGACTCAATATCCATAGTTTAATACCGAAAATGTGTGAAATCGGTCCACGAATTAGCCCAGCTCGCTTATACTGAATATAATGATATTCAAATATGTCAGGCAATATTTGAGTTATCTTCCTAAATTTGCGTGTAAGCATTTTCACGACTATATTTGAGTAACCGTAATTATACCCGATATGGTTATTTTCGGTTTTCCAGCTTTAAATCATTTGTACTGGTTTCTCAAACATAATATATTTTAGCGCTGAAAATGATGAAATGGGTTCGTATCCCTAACACGAGGTCTGTTCAAAAACTAAGGCGAATTTTAAAATTTCGCGGGCTACGTACATTTCATTATCGATTTTTTTATTTTGTTATGTTAGTACACTTGTCGCGAACATTTGTTCACAGTTTTAGCTATATAGCATAATTATATTGTTTGTGCGAGGCATAAAAGTTAGACGTGTTTTGCGTGTTCGGCGACTTCCTGCTGCCAAAAAAAAGGATCAAAGGATTTTGTGTAAAAAATGGAACTAAGTGCTCAAAAACACTTGAATTGTTGACAGTGATATACGAGGAGTGTACTCTGAGCCAAAAAAATTTGTACAAGTAGTACAAGATGTTCAAAGAAGGTCGAAAAGATGTGAATGACGACGTTCGCCCTGGCAGCTTTAGCATATCAACAACCGATGAAAATGTTGAGAAAGTGAATAAAATTGTTATGGAGAATCGTCGAATCACTTTGAGAGAAGATGCTGAATGTCGGTTGGCTCATGTCATGCAAATTTTTCGGAAAATTTGGGCATGAAGCATGTGGCATAGAAGTTCATTCCTAAATTGCTGAATTTTGACCCAAAAACTGGTGACGAATCATGGTATATGGTTATGACAACGAAACCAAAGTCCAATAGTCACCATAGAAGAGATCAGGAAAACCCAGGCCAAAAACAATATCGCTGAGAGAGCTAAAGGATATACCAAAATGTGCATATCAGAACTGAGATGATTCGAGAATGAGAAAAAACGCTGACACAAGCGTATTTTATCTAAGGGGGACTACTTTGAAGAGGGCAAACTAGAAATTGATGAATAAATAAATATTTTTTGTGGAAAAGGAAAGTTGACTTTATTTTTTGAACAGACCTCGTATAGAGTTTTCTGATGCTCTGGTTGATATTTTATACCCAATATATAATATATAAATTTAATTTATATATGATATGTATGTACATTTTTTGTCATATAGGTCTCAGTTTTGTTAATTATGTTGATTTTAATATAAATATAATGCAAAAAAGTAAATTATAGAAATGAAACCAATTAAGTCTATGACCTATAATATAGGTTAATAAGACTCCAAACGATTCCAACGATTTTAATCCATTTACGGTGTCGTTGAATAATAAATTTACAACATTTATTATTATAAAGTCTTGTCAACGCTAAAAGCATTTCTGATCGTGACCTTCAATATTGTGTCGATAATATCTTCTCTGTTTTTCTAAGAAACTTCTCAAAAATTGTGTAAAATATTGTCAGAGACGCAGTAAATTATATTTATTTTTTTATAATGAAAATCATTGACGAAATCTCAGAAAAAAGAATTTGTGACAAATAAATACAAATATAAGAATTATTTCCATTTTATTTCCCATCCCACACGTGAGTATAAATTAAGAATGCAAATACAACTTCAGTATGTAAAACAAAAACAAAAGTTTTTGTTTTTTGTTTTTTTAAATATACTGTAAATCAGAAAAACAAAGAAAAAATAATAAAAACGGAAGGAGAGTAAGCAAGCAAAATAATGGGCTTGACAAATGAAAATGATTTGAAATCGAAAATAAAGCAAGAAGAGAAAATTGAACAGACAATGATCGTGTTGTTCGTTCCAATTTGCATATGAAATGGATTGTGAGATGAGCATGTTAAATAGTGAATAGCAAAAAAAACAAACGAATAACAATAACGAATAAAACTACCGTCAGGTTAAATTACAAAATCATATACAAACACACATGCAATCTGGCACTTGAAGTTACACTTTTATATTAGTAAATAGATGTTAAGCGTTATGATGCGTCGCGACGACGAGATTTTCGCCCTGCTCCCATTGTAATGTGTAGCGAAGAGTAAACAGATCGCGCATATACACACAAGCAAACTTCTTCGAGGCAGTTCGAACGTCTCCGACTAGTGTTTACCATCATTTAGAGTTGGTGTATGAAAAATGCAACGAAGGTAAGCTAAGAAAACTAAAACAGTAGTCAATCAAAACGACACATTCGGATGGTAAAAATGGACTGTTTCAGAATACACTGTTCTAGTGCTCTGGCACCAATCTCCAGTGTGCGATAATTGATTGTCCAAACTATTGTGCAGCTGAGCAACAAAGACTGGACCAGATTATGGATAGTCTTTTGGTTTGTCTTGAGATGTGATTGGAGATGCAGCCGTTTTTTTTAAATGTGTAGAGTCAATCATTTCAAATTGACTCTATTTATTATTATTATCTGTTTTTGAATATCGGGTACGCTTTTGTAATTATTTTCTGAGTAAATATTTATAAACATTCAAACCCAAAATAAAAACTCACTAAGTGGAGCCTAGTTACTGCTAGCGTTCTCAGTAACAGTTATTTAAAGTACACTTTTGATTTACGAAAGAAAATATGGCATAAAACTTCATAAAAAATTTTATAACATTAAAGTTGAATCTATTTCAGATGGAAAATTTATGATTTATATTTGGTGTGCTTTGTTAATTATTTATTTTCGAAGCTTTTACTATGTATTTTTAGCATCAGAATTATTATATAGAGTTATTATTATTGGTAATTTACTTTTGGGTCGAATTATCGTTTTTTTTTTACTAAAAAATATATATATTTCAGAGTTAACTGATTATTAAATTAATATTTAGATATGTTCCAACCTTCATTATTTATATACTTGCTTCAACTGATTTCTCTTCTTACCCTGAACAGGGTATATTAATTTTGCCACGATGTTTTTAACACCCATAAGGAATCGTCAGACAACCTATAAGTGCATATATACATATATGTAAATGTTCAGCATGATGAGCTGAGTCGATTAAGCCATGTCCGTCTGCCTGTTCGTCCGTCCGTCTCTTTATATGCGAACTAGTCCCTCTGTTTTTAAGATATAGATCTAAAATTTTGCACCCGTCCTTTATCATCAAGAAGCTGCTCATTTGACGGAGCGGGCGATGTCGGACCACTATATAGCTGCCATATGCCAATTGGAAAGCTTTTTCATTAACGAGATATCTTTACGAAATTTAGCATGGGTTATTGCCTAAGCAACAGTGCAATCTCCCAAGAAATTGTTCATATCGGATTACTATAGCATATAGCTGTCATATTAACCGAACGATCGGAATCAAGTGCTTGTATGGAAAACTTTTTCATTTGAAGATATATCTTTACAAAATTTGGCATGGGTTATTGTCCGAGGCAATGTTGTAATCTCCGAAATTGTTCAGATCGGATCACTATAGCATGTACCAGCAATACAAACTGACGGAACAAAGTATTTGCAAGGAATCTTTTGTATTTGTGAAGGGTATTATGGCTTCGGTGCATTTTAACGTGTTTTCATGTTTTTATACTTTTGCAACATGTTGGTACAGAGTAATAGTTTTCTTCACCTAACGGTTGCTTGTATCAGCTAAAACTAATAATAAGAGATATGGAGTTATATATCTATATATATAAAAATTAAACCCGTTTCCCGTTGTCACGCCATAACTTGAGAACGGCTAGACCGATTTGGCTGTTTTTTTTATAGTTTTCTAATACTCTGTAGAAGGTTCTTACAGAAAAAAATATTAAGAAAATGTCTCAGAAAGATTGAAAAAATACATTTAATTTTGCATATTTAAAAAAATGCGCGTAACGATTATCATCGTCATTCACAGTCATAGACTACATTGAAAGAGCATCGTTTGTTCGGAAATGTGGTTCTCTAATCAAATTCTATCGCACTAATTTACTAATTTTTGAAAATTACTCGCCACAACTAAATGTACCGACTTTGACGGTAATATTAATAATACCAGTGATGATTTTATTTTAACTTAAATTAAAATTTAATAATAATAAAATATGTATACTATGAGTTAGATTTCAGAATAGAAGTTAGATTTCATATACTAACTGCAACCAAATACGAAATGCCCTAAGCTTCCAGCCAATTTCGCACAAAATAATTATTTAAATGATAACTGGCTCAGTTATCGAGTTATATGGACAGAAAAAAATGTTGAAATTAGTTTGAATAATAACATTTTACTAAATTAAACTGCTTACTGAATATAATTTAATTATACGTAAGCCACAGCAAGGCGTGGCCGGCGTCTTCTAGTAGTATATAAATGATCAGGACTATGAGACAAGTTAAATTGATGGCCTGTCTGTCCGTCTGTCTGTGCAAGCTGTAATTTGGGTAAAAATTGAGATATCGTAATGAAACTTGGTACACGTGTTCTTTGGCAAAAAAGCGATGAGGTGCGACTACGTCAACAAGTTAAAAAAACATCGAAACGGTAAATAAAATTGCTCTTGAAAATCGTCGAATCACTACAAAGAAAGTTGCAGGGGATGTTGGCATATCAATCCGCTCATGCCATTCAATTTTCTTGAATGTTTTGGACATGAAAAAATTGGTCACCTCACAGGTTGACTAATATATTAGGTATAAAATCAAGAAAATCCGAATATGTACACAGCCGGCGAAAAATCAAAATTCAATTGGTTATTTCGTACACTAAATTTTCATTTTTTCGGCGTTAGACTATAATATAACCAATATTATACGTTTACTTATTATATTATATTGACCGATATATGAGGAATAAAGCTAAGCGGAAGTTTGAAAATCTTACAATATATTACAGGATTTGTACGATTTTATCCAGGCACAGAGAAGCACCGTTAGGAGTAAAACACACTCACTCTATTTAATTAAGATAACTCACATATTGACCGATATACTCGTATGCGGTATAAAGTCAGCCGGAAGTTCGAGAATCTATCCATTAGATATATTGGGGCTAAGGGAAATATTAAATTGATTCAAGCAATTTTTGACATACAAGCATATTATTATAAGGAAAGGATTCTCTTCTAATTTAAAAAAAAAAAAAATCTCACACATTGACCGATATTTTCGGTAAAAAGTCAGCTATAGTTTTTGTGGTCCACACTTTCGGTTTTTGGAGGCTTGAATAGTTATGGTACAATTTTGACAATTTTAGACCTGGAATGGCCTACCACAAAAGGCAATATTCGTTCAGATTTTTATCCTGATATATTAATTGGTGTTTAATTTGTATACTGAGAAGTTAAAATATCATAATGTCTCTAAGTCATTTGGTTATTGATTTATCGCACTTTTAGTAGCTTTTAACAAAATCGTTATTTGGGGTGTCGGCGTGATCATCATCGGATTTCACTTATTTTCATGTTGTCGCAAGAGGTGCTGAAACTGTATGTCCTGTGCAAATTTAGGTAATATAGCTTGAATAGTTTAGGAGATATATACATCAAACCTATTATGGGGCGGGCCACGGCTACTTAAAAAAAAAGGTTAAAGGACAGATGTCGCTTATTATTATGATTCGTTGTAGCAATTGACGTTTTTGTATCTTAATTTGCGGCTTAGTTATGGCAATTTATAAGTTTTCGATTAATGACGTTTTCTGGGCGTGACAGTGGTCCGATAACGCCCGTCTACGAATTTATCCTCACTTTTTTGTTAAGGACTACGTGTGCCAAGTTTCATTAAGATATCTCAAATTTTACTCATGTTATCGCTTGCTCAGAGGGACAGACAGAAAGTCATTTGTCGTCTCGTCATCCTGATCATTTATATACTATATTTGTATATAACACCACATCTATCTCGATTAGTTTAAGGTGATACAAACAACCGTTAGGTAAACAAAGCTTATATACTTTGTAGCAATATATTGAAAGAGTACAAAATGGTAACCATCGTTGGTACCCAATGTCTTTCAAATATACATCCGAAAATAGTTATCAGCGTAATTTATGCAGCTAAAGCCAATTAAATCAAAATAGATATGTATGATATGTTTTTAATTACGATATTTTAATCGAGAACAGTCGCGAAATTGGATTTATAAGTTTACAATTTTTTTTTTCAATGCCGATAAGTCCAGACACATTCCCGAAGTTCACAAAAGCATATACGAAATTCGAGCATTTTATACGAATTTTTCGTTCGCTTAAAAATAAAAATACATGATTGATTTATTCACATGAAGTTTACAATAAGGCTGATTATTTATTTTCTTCAACAATTTTGCAAAATCGCCAATTTGTTTTTATTTAATTTAAAATTATATAAAAGTAAAGAAAGAATCGAGCAGGAGTTTGTAATCAATCGACCTATTTGGCCATGACGACGGCCTTCTCCAAGTAGTCGATGTAGATCACACTTTGTTGCAAAAAACGGTGACCATCCCCGTTTCAGATAAAAGGATAGTTACCGCCTTCTGTGGAGCATATTCGGCAGTCTGTCAATACAAGGTCGTACATTTTTGTCACGTTATCCACGTGGTAGCCGCTTCACGGCACCTGACAGTGGTTTATGAAAAACCGACGTGGAACCTTGTTGATACTCGTTAAACCAGTTTTTGGTGGTCGCCATCGAAAGAGAAGAGTGCGCTTCTTCCGTAGCAAAATCGAATCACCGATTGATGTTGTTCTTGTTTAATTATTCTAAATTCCGTAGAAAAAATCTCTTCCACAAGCATTCAAAAAAAAATCACAAGTTCGATTCGTTTGAAAATTTTACAGTGGTTGTATACAGGAATGTTTTAGATGGTGCAGCTAAGCCATTATCGAACTGTCCTGGTATGTATTGTATGTCCAAATAAAACTCGTAATTCCCATTTGTATGTAGTTTCTATTATAGAACCCTAAATTGCTCTTTATGTAGTTATGTTTTTTATACTTTGCTATGTAGGTATGTTTATCATATTACATTGCGCACCGAATACACATGATGAAATTGGCACAAAATGTCAACAAAAATCGACTGGCGTTTCGAAACTCTTAGTAACGGCCATAAATCATCAAATTACAGTGACAATGCGGAAACCATAAAGCATCTTTACCTGAGCACTCGGGAAATGATGTCCATTTAAATAACTATAACAACAATGCTTGATTATGATTATTTCGATTTTTTCTATAAAAATATCAAACATAACATTTCAGAACTAAACCCTGTAAGAATTATATGGATACTTACAAACATAAGCTTTTATGTATTTATGCCAACGAAAAGTGCAAATTTTCATTACTGAACGTGTCAGTGGGGTGCGAAGGGAAATGTGCTAGAATCAGCAATAATGGCCCTTAATGAATCACAGCGTAACAACAATGAATTGTGTAAATATAATGAGAGGCGATGAAATTTTTGCGAGTATGAACAACGAACAAACAGTGAAAACAAAACACCATAAGTATGATAAACAGGCAAATCAAAAATACAAACAAATATGAGAGAGGTAAGCGTAAAATGATGATCGTACGATTCAAAGCTATAAAGTATAAAAAATAGGTTTTAGTTGTTTGTTTCGTGTAAAGTGGGTGAAAAATCGATCGGTTGGGAAATGGAGGGGGAAAGTAGGAAACGCAGCGCCAGGAAACAGCAGGGTATACTATGCAAACCCACTAATATTACAGGTAAAGTCTAAAGCGTCAATTAGCCGAAGTACAGCTAGGTTGAACCAAAGCGAGAAAATGATCAAAAACTCAAAAAAGCCGACAGAAACGAAAACAAAAGATCAACATCAACAAAAGGCAATAAAGGTAATTCATACAATACCTAAACGCATTGCAGATAAATAATATATAGTACAAACAAACATATGATATATTCAATTGCAGAACAAATAAAGATTACAAATGTTGAAATAAGAATTTGCTAAGTTTGGTGGCCGTCATTGATTGGTAGAAATTATGCTTTCAAAGTTCCAATTAATTTGGGAAAATACAACAAAAATATTCGTTTTATTATATAATTTAGTATATAATGGCGTATAATTCGGCAATCCAAATTTATTATTGTTTTCTTATTGAAGGTTACTACATGGACCAAAAACAAATAAAATCTTTCCTTTTTAGACTACTAACCTTAAGGATTACTGCCTTGACACTTCCTTCAGTCGTTATTGGTCTCAAAGTGATGCTGAGTTAGTTAACAACATTGACATCTCAAAAGAGCGCAAAGGTCTTATTATTCACGATATTTTATAATGAAAATCTTCGATCAAAAACACAAACTTGTTCGACTTTCAAAGGCAATGTGAGACTGAGCAAATGCAATAAGTATTCGAGTCTAATCAGCAGTCTGCTGAATTGCTGTTGCCTGAAAACACATAAGCACACACCGGCAAGGCTTTAGATAGTAATTGTTGGGATGGGTAATTAATTTGATCAACTGCTTGAATAATGTAAAAAATTTAATAAGCAATAATACTGTGCGTTCTTGGATCGCTTAGATGTCAAGACCAAAGTTGGGTCACATTGTTACTTCAAAGACTTTTCAGCCCACGTAATAAGATTACTTTCACATGCTGTTGTAGATTAATGTACTACTGTAAAATACTGAAACTCAGTATTTTGAGCTATAGTTACATACAGTTAGAATTTTCAAAAAATCAATTTTTAAATTTATTTTTCTTAATTTACATATATTTAAGAATACACACAAAAAATTTCATAAAAAAAAGATCAAAAAATAAAATAATATAAAAATCAAGATAACTATATTTACAGGGTGTACAAATGTATTTTTTTATTTTTGAAATCAGTCATATATACAATTTGGTTATTTTGTAAACATCTTGAATTAAATTTCAAGGCTTAGCCAAAAAGTGTACAAAAGTAATAAATTACGAAGTACTTTCGAAAGTTGAAGGGGATTTAATTTGTGCTGAAAGCGGAAGTAATAACAATAGTTAAAGAACAATTAGCAGAAATGTAATATTTGAATTTAATTCCTTAAGAACCTTTACCACAAATCGTCTCAAAATGGTTTCCACAATATTGGTTAGTACAATCTGAGGTTTGTGAGACCTTGGTAACTAAACAGTAACTGCGACACTTTTTTTAACCAATCAGGATTAAGAGACGAGTTGTAATTCGGGTGACTGTCTGTCCGTCTGTGCAAGCTCTAACTTGAGTAAAAGTTGAGAAAAATTGATGAAACTTAGTACAGAAATTTCGTAGCCAGGTTGGTATTGTAGATGGGTGTAATCGGACCATTGCCACGCCGAAGAAACACCATTAATCTAAAACCAATAATTAGTCATAACTAAGCTCCACAATAAGACAAACAGCTGTTATTTGTTTTAGTGAATCTCTGCGATTCCCATAAGGCAAATATTTTTCACACCCCTACCGTCAGTGTGAAAATGGGTGAAATCGGATGATAACCCCGCCCACTCCCCATATAACGGTGATTTTAACCAAATTGGGTAGGTAACATTTCTCTGACACTGTTATGTTACAGTAGTGAAATCGGACTACAACCAAGCCTACTTCCCATAAAACACAATTAAAAATTCCATCTGATTCTTTCGCTTTCCATTGTGATACCACCAGGACTAAAGTCCCCTCCCTCTATTGGTTCCTCTTTGAACCAACCCGTGCTTCTGATGAACTTCTAAACTTGACAAGTTTTATCTGTGCAACCTCCGAGACGTCGTCAAGAAACTCTCGACCGTCGACCGATGGTTGCGATTAGTTTCCTATCTTACCTTACAATCGCATAGAATTTGTTAATTGGTCTCCATCTCGTCTACCTTATGACAGCTTTTACAATAGTCGTTATATGGCGTTCCTAGTCTACTGGTATGACTGCCTATTAGACAGTGGCCTGTTAGTACTCCTACTAGAGTTCTTATATCATTTCGATTAAATTTTAATAGTCGGCATGTTCGGCCCATATTCCAATCCTGCCACGTTTACCTGCTTGTTGAGCAAGTCAGGGATTGATTTAATCGAGACCCAGTTATGTTTATTACATGTTAACACAATTCCCTGTGATATCACTATGTTCTGGAACCCATTGCGGGTTTATCGTGAAATAGGACGTTAGCTCCACTAAGAGCTCAATGCTTTCTTTCACTAACTTAGACGAAATTCTAAAAGACTTTACTGAACTCAAACCGCCTGGCTGTCTGAATATATAAATATATTTCTTGCTGTGAGCACACTTCTTGTCAGTATAAGAAGGCTTTTTTAATTGTTGTGACCTCCGCTTGAAAGACACTGCAGTGATCTGGAAGACGGAAGGCGATTTGGGTATTTAGTTTAGCAGAGAAGACACCGCTGCCCACTCGGTTATCTAGTTTTGAACCATCCGTATAGATGCTTATCCCTGCGTCCTGCTCCATCCCGCCCCTTTCCTACTCTACTCTACACTAACGCGAAAATATAATTTAATTGCAGTGTCACTTTAAGCATGGTTGTTAACCAGTTTATTATGTAGTTCTGGGACTGCTGTATATGAGCCAGAAATAAACCGTCTGGTATCGGCGACTTGTAGGGCTTGAAGCAGGGTTGGCTCTGTTTCTACTTGACGTCACAGTGTACACTCCATTGTGTGAACTGTAGTAGTCTGGCCTCTGGAGGTATCTAATGTTACGCACCGATTGTGCCATTATTTTTCTTAGCCGAAACCCTTCGGCTGTATTCGCGATATCATTACAAAAAATTTCCACGAATTTCTTTTTACTTTTCTTATTTAATTTTTGTATGACCTTAAGAGGTTATATTCTTTTCTCTTTAGTATAACTTTGGCTAAATTAAATTGTTTCCTGCAATGTTTCTGTAAGTTGTTAAGTACGGGAGACCACCCCCCTGGCCTAATTCTTCCCCTACTACGTGTTATTGGACAAGAAATCTATAGTGATTGTTGACAAGAATCTTTGAACTGTTTAATGAGGATGTCTAGGTCCTCCTTGTTCCTTGATTAAAATGGTGGAATAATAGGAATACGCTTTTTTAGCTCTTGCAGGTGCATTTGCCAGTTCGTTTTCCTATGATTAATAAAATTTTCTACCTTGTCCACATTCTCTTTAATTATGGATTCAAGCGGTGGTCCGAAAAGGAGTGTTTTTCACCGTGCTACCATCCGCCATCCGTACGATTCTTTGTCTTCGGTCTCTTGGCTGACGGCTTATCCTCTTCAGCTGACCTTTGCCTCTTGGCTGCCACTACCGGCGTTTACAGTTTAAAATTAGGTAAAACTGCTCTCACGCAGTCAATAGATTTTTGGAGTTTCTCCGGTAGCTCCTCATTGTTTGGCGGTTGCAGCTCTACCTTTCTCAGCAGGTATGCAGCACGTCGCTTCTCCGCATTCCTCGCCTTCGTTGGGTCTTCGATCCTAAAAACCGGTTATTCTCTGGCTAACGCTCTGGTAGAAAACTGGCTACAGGGTTTGGTACTGGCTGCCTCCGATGCTGCTACTTTCCTGGAGAGAGCCTTCCTTAGCTTCTGCTGCTCTTTTCTGGGAACAACTAGCTCCCTACCGTTGTTTTTATAGGAGCTCCGGACTCCTTTAAATTTGTATTTTCACTTTTGTTGATTTGATTCACTCCATATATGATAATATTGCTTGTTTACATTTCTGTTTAGATTAAAATGGACCTCATCAGACATAAATAGGAAATTTATCAAGTTGAAGACTTCTTCGGCCATTTCAATAATTTTTTTGCAAAATTTCAGGCGAATAGGCAAATCTAGAGTTATTAACCGGCTTGTTATTTGAACTTGGTACGAAAACAGGTTCCAGTCATCATGAATTATCGGTTGTAATGACCGTCTGTTAATTCCAAGTTGCACTGATAAGTTACGTATCGAAACTCTTGGATTTACCTGAATTAACGATGCAACGGCGATTGTTTCTTGAACACGAACATATGGATCTCGATGCTACGGTCTTCTTGCGATACTTCCAGATTCAGCAGACAATCTCATAATGGTCCATCTACTCGGGGGAGTGCCGACAAAACCGTCTGAATTCCCTTTGGATGGAAATGACGGACTGCAAAGCATGGTACCGCACTATTTAAACCCTCTTTTCGGTATCTCAAGCATTCATTTTTAAAAAACTTAAATAATAATTTCTGGTTGACGTTTTGCACATCAACTGAAGTTTATGTTAAGTTTAAAAATATAGTTAGAAAACTAATTGAGTCAATCACTAACTTATTAAAATACCAAATTTGATTGTAATTTATTCCTGATTTCGTCAAATAAATGTTGAATTCTTTTGCAACATTTTTATACTCCTGCGACATTTTGCTATTTGCTAGTATAAATGTTCACCTAACGATTGTGCGTATCACCTAAAACTAATCAAAGTAGATACAGGGTTATGTATATAAATGATCAGAATGTCCAGGCGAGTTGAAATCCGGATGTCTGTCTGTCCGTCCGTGAAAGCTGTAACTTGAGTAAAAATTAAGATATCTTGATGATGCATGGTACACATGCTCCTTGGCACCATACGAAGTTTGGTTTTGTAGATCGGCGTAATCGGACCACTGCCACGCCCGCAAAACGCCTTTAATCGAAAACTTATAAAATAACTAAGCACTAAAGTAAGGTAGATATCTGTAATTTTGTACTGAAGATTTTATTGTGTCTGGGAATCTATGGTTTGATAAATTATTCAAAAGTGGTCGTGGTGCCGACTCCTAATAAGTAAACAAATATTTCTTCTAAACCATACAAGCTATATAACCCAAATTTGCACAGATAAAGACTGTGTGAAAATGGTTGAAATCGGATGATAACCC